TATCTTAAACTTAGGGTTACTGGCTGCTTTGAGAGAGGTCTCTGTCTCCACTGTCTAATTTAAACACGCAGTGAAAACCTGGGCCATGAGCAAGTAGTGACTGACCGTCTTTCTGCAGTTACATGTAATTGAATAGCCCCAACAAGAGAGTAAAGATTCATCTTCAACCACGGAATTGATGGATCCTGGACACTTACTTGATAGTGATCATTTTCTTGTTTGTGTCATTGGAGCTGAGCTGCTTCATCTTTAAGATATTATCAGCCCACTGGAATTTTTCAGAGTTGATAAAAAGCAGCGGTTGCTGGACACTGTTTTGGTAAATGTCATCACCTACTGGAAGCATCCATGCATCGAGGGCAATGCCACACCTGTCAAAAACAACTGGATATGGTCACAGAAGCAGCAAGCTTTGTATGGAAGTTCTCAGCATGTTTTGATTTGCAGGAGACACAGCAAAGAAACCCTCTATGACACTGAACAAGTAAACACGTTAATGAATCATCTTGTTTCAAAATTCTTTCTACCCTGGGGGAAGAGAATTAATCCATTATTGCATTTGTTGGTCTCCATTGCCAGGTGCAGCTGGGCACAGGAGCTTCTGCAGGGTCCCACAGTATCGTGATATAATATGATACAGCTACTATGCTCCACCACGTCCCCACAGTTGAAAGAAACATGACTTGAGAAAACAAGATGTGCCAAACAACACTTTTCTTCAAGAGTGAATTAATAGTTGGGGGATCTTGGGTAAGGTTCCCTGCTCCAGACCTCTCAAGTGCCAAATGTCTCTTGCCTTGTTTTGCACACTTACCTGAATCTTCTTTCTTTGCTGAGACTCTCAATAACTGTAGCACCACCAAAAGAGTGTCCCATCACAGCTATTCTGCTAGTATCAACAGAATCCTGTCAAAAAAATCCAGGTGCTGTAAGAGACTTTCTTTCCCAAACTTTTTTTTTTTTTTAAAAGAAGGGAATAATTTTTTAGGCAATAGATCCTATTGAAGTAGGAAGAGCATCATTTCAGCTCCATTACTATCTATCCAGCGTGGGATGACCTGAGAATATGTTCATAGATCTGCAGTGCAATCTTCAGAATAGTTTATGAACCAGTTTAGAAATGGAAGAGGGACACCAGAAACATATTTAGGCATTTAACAAAATGCAGTCACCACCTTCCACTCACCTTTAGGCTATTCCAGTCAAAGTCTGAATTTAGTACATTCATTACTTCCTCTCCTGAATTGATTTTAAGAATGAGGTTGAGAGCTTTGATACACTCCTGCGCTCTTTGCTGCACCTGGGGAGAAAGAGAAGTTGGGGCAGAGCAGTGGAAGGAATTACCAGACAACTGCTAGGCTTGCCAGCCCTTTGGACACAAGACACAGTCTCATTTTGTTTTCCCGCTAAGTGTCTGGTACGGTAACGACTATTCTGAACTGCAGAATGGATCTGTAAAACGGAACTCTGATGAGGTCTGACCAACAACCAAACTGACTTTTGGAGGTCCAAAGAACTGAAGCTTTTGCATAAATCCTCTGCACACAGAGGAATTTTTTCCCTGTAACATGCGCCAAAGACCTTCAACTCTTTCGTCCTGTCACTACTCGGAGAAGGGGTTCTTGGGATGTGCAAAGGCTTAAGTTACACAACTACAAGGAAGGCTGACTCGCTGCTCCTCCTCATGCTCACTTTGATGAGCAAATATCATTACATCACTTGCCCCATCTGCACAGTAGCTTTGAAACTGTCTTTACACTGGATAAACCCAAAATAAGAAACAGCCAAGAAGACCATTCTGTTTTATGTATATGTACATTCTTGAAAACTGTAGTAAAGCATTTGCAAATAAAGGTTTTCATCATTCAGAGCAAGAAGTGTTTTTGACTTTGATACGTCAGTAAAGAGCTTCAAAAAGAACCAAAGAACAGTAGTGTCCTTGGGAACCGCAGTGTGTAGGCAGCCAGCAAGATGTCTGTGCGTCACTGAATTTCAAATAAATCTCTGTTTCCTGACTTCTCTACTAGTGAAATTTGCAGGCAACAGCTTCTGGAGGTTATTTGCAAGCATTATCTGTTTAGACTCTGTCCTGGTTTCGGCTGGGATAGAGTTAATTTTCTTCCTGGTAGTGGGCACAGTGCTGTGGTTTGGATTTAGTAGGAGAAGAATGTTGATAACACACTGACGGTTTAGTTGTTGCTAAGTACTGCTTATGCTAGTCAAGGACTTTTCAGCTTCCCATGCTCTGCCAGGTGCAGAAGAAGCTGGGAGGGGTCACAGCCAGGACAGGTGACCCAACCTGCCCAAAGGGCTATTCCATACCATACGGTGTCATGCTCAGTATAGAAACTGGGGAGAGTTGGCTGGGGAGCAGCGATCGCTGCTCGGGAACTGGCTGGGTATCGGTCGGTGTGTGGTGAGCAATTGCATTGTGCATCACTTGCTTTGTATATTATTATTACTATTATCATTATTATATTGTTGTTATTATTATTATTACTGTTTTACTTTATTTCAATGATTAAACTGTTGTTATCTCAACCCAGGAGTGTTTCTCACTCTTACTCCTCCAATTCTCTCCCCCATCCCATCGGGGTAGGGGGAGTGAGCGAGCGGCTGCGTGGTGCTTAGTTGCTGGCTGGGGCTAAACCACGACAGACTTGTAAGTAGGATGTTGTATCCACACAGGAAATGACACTTGTACTGCTGTCTGTATGGCCCAGGGAGATAAAGGGAAACACCTCCCTGGCTGAGTTTGCATTAGCTGGAAGAAAACACTCTCATATTTTAAAGGTCAAGTCTATGCTTGGAGGAGCTCATCAGTATGGCCATAGCATACCTAGCATGGATGCTGCTTATAATCAGAAGTCTGCCTTGTTTACATTGCTATAAACCACATTAAAGTCTGTTGAAGGTGATGAAGCAAACATCCCCCTTAGAGCAGCCATGATTAATCTTGCTATCCAACAGCAAACAAAAGCTGAAATAAGCCTAAGGCCACACAAACATTTGAATTCAACTCTGTGTCACTTAAAGACTGGGCTGAGCAGCAAAAGCGTGAAGACAGAGAGAAGAAACAGAAAGTTGACTGGAACCAGAGGAGAAACAGCTGACTAAGCTTGACAGTGCAACTTCATGAGAAAGCTTTGTTGAGGAAGTAGTTTATGCTCTGAAGAAAGCTGGTTTTGGCTTTCCCATCTTCAGGAACATAGGACTTGATGAGTTTTTATATATTCCCTGAGTGATGGCAGAAGACTGCAGACATGGCCAAAGGGAGAGTCTGCTCGTTAGTCCTAAACACACCACTCCTGCCTCACTTCCTAAGGCACAGACCGAGGATGAGTACCTGCTTATGGCGCAAACAGCGCTCTTCCTCGCCAGTTTTTAATTTCCTGTAGTAGATCCACTCCTTCTCCATGTTTGATGTAGACTCTTCCTGTGGTTCGGAAATGGACTTTTTTTTGCAATAATACGTTGCTGAAGCAGATTCATCTCTGTAATACCAACAAAAGGTTATTTCTGGGGATGTATTCCATTTGGTTTGAGATGAGGTTAGCAGCAGTTTTAGATTTCACTTATCTCAAGAGATCCAGCTACCAACCAGTGCTGCTGCAATCACAACTGAGTGTAGACAGACTTTCTAAATAATGCAATAACCCCACCAAAACTCCCACCTCCTTTATATTCTCCAGGTTCTAACAATAAGAGAGATCAAAATAGCATGCCTGAAGAAAGACGTATGATATCTATGCTGCAACTTCTCATTCAAGGGCTTATCTAAGCAAATTCCCTTTGCTTAGATAAGAGTTGAGCTAGAGGCACAGGGGGTGGGGGCAGGGCTGAAGAAGATGTTACTTTTTCTTTTTAAAAAAGTCTTAAGTTCTTCTTTACAATAAATAAAATTCTATAATAAAATAAAAGTTTCTTTCCATCAGAACTCGAAAACGTGCAGCATACGCACCTGTGCTCCACAGCAGCCACTATAAAGCCCTGGGAAGCCATCTCTATGCAAATAGCGGAATAGATAGTCCTGCAATCAAAACCACACTCTGGTGAGACACGTGCATACATAATCATTTCAATTACACTGCTCTTTAAATGTTGACCACACTACATATGCGCCTAGCCCCCATTCAGTATTTCTTCTGTTTGAATTTGCTAGCCAGTAAAGGATTTTGTATGCCAGTCACCAAAGCCTGTTCACAAAACCTTGTTACTGTTTTACTATCTATTCAGGACAAAAAATGCTAATAATTTTAAAACAGTAGCACACATGACACTTTGCATTTTCAAAGAGCTGTCCAAAAATCAACTAGCTAATCTTTGCAACATGCTTCTGGATCGGTAAATACCTTCACCCCTAAAATACAAAAGGAAAACACAGATAAATACATCAACCCTGCTTTTATTTACTGCTGTTGATTTTAGTGGAGGCATACTGATACACAGAAAGCAGCCTGTTCTTCAAATCTGTTTCAACTCCACGGGGATCTCACCCCCCTACTGAAAATCTGTTCAAAACCATCCTTGTAGACTGCCATCTCCATAAACAACAAAAACAGTTTGTCAACAAACTGCAGAATTACCGAAAAGCTCCAAGTCCATGGGAAAAAACGAGGAGTGGGTATTTTTCTCCCAGCTTAAAAGCAGCATTTGACTTTGCAGGACAGGTCACTGAACCTAGATGAAAATCAAAGCATATGTCATTATTACTGAAATGAGAGAAAGCATCTGTTCTTGTGGGAGAGATCCCAAGAGTCTGGTGACCACTGATTTCAGAGTGGTCATCTGAAGATAAGGTACCAAATCTCATCCTTAAAAAGCAGAAGACAAAGAAGGATCTGACTCTGAAAATACTTTATACTTGGCAGAAGATAATTTCCTTCTCCTCTTCCCATCCACAGCCTAGCACAAGGCCTCTTAAACCCTAGAAGAACTGATTTTCAAGAATAGTAAGGCATCCAAGTCTTGTTGGTATTCAGACCTTAGTTATCTATCTGACCTTTGTATATGTGCACCTTTCCTTGTGGAATTTAAATCCCAACACATAGGTGCAGCTTACCCAAGCTCTTCCTAGAGCAAATTGCCCAGACATTCCTGTTCATAGCAATCGGGGGCTGCAGGTCTGCCCGAGAACTGGATCACATTCAGCACTGAGCATCGCTACACAAACCCTTCCCAAACACACACGCTTCCTCAGGAGAAACTATTGTTTAGTCCTGCAGCAACAACACACTGCTCACAGAGCAGCGAGGCAACGACCTGCACAGAGAGCTCATGCCCTTGCACTAGTCAAGGAATAAAACCAAAACCAGTCTTACCAACATAGTACTGGAAAAGCCTTTCTCCTACAACTCGGTACAGGTTAAGGAAGTCAGAGAGTCCCTGATAGTACTCTTTATCTGGAATCCACAGTGCCTCTTCATTATCTGTCGCATCGCATGATGGATAATACAGGCGCAAGAAGCTGCCCTGGGGTCAGGAGGAAAAAAAAAAACCAGGAAGATTGATACTTATTTATATATGGTGGAGAAAAAGGAAGATAAAAACATTTATGTCAAGGGCTTCAGATGCAAGAATGACAGCTCAAGAGAATTAAGAGAATCTCATGAGAAAATTATTATCCTCCACAGGCTTTGATGTCAACCCTATGCCACTGTCTTTTTGTCCCCGCAATGAATTTAAAGTAGCGTGACAGCTGGCATCCAGGTAGGGATACACAGCACCTTCTCTAGGTTAGCCCATGGCTAATTCAAAATGCTCCATTTAATTAAGTTAATCATTACAAACACTCACTACCCATTTGCTCTATTTATTTCTGCATCTTGCTGGATCTTTTCTTCTGTGTTCCTCACTACGCCTCCCTTTGGGGAATGGTACGATGACGCAGTTTGATCAGTTTAACAGGGGTGATTGTGTCCCCTTCACCCTTCCAGCTAGGAGCTGGCATGGCTTTCTTTGCACCAGTGAATCTCACGGATCTGTTACTGACGCAATTCAGCTTGCTAAACTTGGCGGGGGGAGGAAAGGACCCTCCTAGAAGTATATTTTTCCATTGGGTTAGCAAGACGAATTTTACCCTGAGACTAATTTCTGGAAGTGTGGTCCAGCAGAGCTGTGGGTAGAGTGAGGGGCAGGGTCTCAACGTGGCTACAGTGTTCCTGGATAACCTGGCTGCCAGTGAAGCCCTCGGGCAGCTGCACAGCAAAGGAGTTCTCCCTCCTCATCAAGGTGTTTACAAGTCTGTAGTGGTCCATCTTTCTAAACACGATTTTGTTAACCTGTGTTTGATCTGCCTCCATTTCTTACCACCAGTTTGAATCTTCTCTTACTCTCTGCACTCCAGGTCTTCCAGGAAACCACCCAAGCTTTCCATATTCACGCGGACCCTCCATGCCCCCCTTGCCAGTATTTTTCCTACGCAGACCGCAGCAATGTACCAATGGCACACCTTAAAGCAGATCTCCTGGCAGATGATGAACTGTGTGTAATTTGCATTCTTACTTCCTGGTATGCAAGGGGATTTGCAACACACTATTCAAATTCACTGTCTTGCTCTAACTGCGCTTTTAACAAATTATATCTAGGGCCAAAAAGAAGACAAGCTTTGCAATAAAGTCTGGTTTCTTGAACACTAATTTATCAGTTTCATACACAACATGTGCCAAAAGCTTGTTTAATAAAGCTCGTTTCTATTTCCTCATCAAATTTCAAAGAACCTTTGACACAAAGGCCATTAAGGAAGAAATCATCAAACCTTCATTCATACTGCCAATGATATTAATTTGATCCCAGCCACAGTGAACCTCCCCAGGTGACTAACTGCTTACCAGAAAAGGAAAGACGTTCATTGTCTATGCCTGAGAGAACTGTAATTATACAGATTGCTTATCTAAGAAAAACACATGGGCTGTTTGGAAAGAGAAACTAATCACTTCTTTGTGCTAATACACAGTAAGCTCAGTAGAGTAAAGGAAAACATATGAATAATCAGTACAAACCGATCACAAGTTCCACTGTACCTGGCTAGTCTGAGGGGCAAAACCACAGTGTAAATGCAGGCGTATTCTCATAGGAAAATTAAAAAGCAAGAGGATTTGAAATGGAAACCCATAAGCGAGCTCATCAGCTGGCTATTTACTGCACCCATCTTCTTATCATGGCTTTTCTCTGTACTAACCACTTGCAAAATAGACATCCTGTTCTTTTTCAGATAGATAAAATTTCAAGAAGACATCTCATGCTTTACCCTCCAACTGAAACATTACATATCCTCATCACCCCATCATCTTGGTGATGAGAACAGCTACAGTCTCGGATACCGCATATGGAGTCTCCCCAGGAGCCCAACGCAGAAGGGAGCTGCGGGGTGGATGGGAGGAACCCCGTGGGTCCCAGGGGGACAGTGTTTCTCTGCAGTGTCTTGCAGCGGGGAATCGGGAAGGTAAGGATATTAGGAGGAAGTAGCCATGGGGAAGACTTGCAGGTTACATCCATCTGGTAAATTGAACCAGTTCCTGGAGACCCCCGATATTTCCTGAACTGTGCCCAGTACACATCCTACACTGGGACGGAGAGGATAGAAAGCTCAGCTGTGAGTGTCAGCCACGGAGCATCCCTGCACACAGACAAGAGCTTCTGTTTGATTCATCTGTAAAACTACAGCAAGTTGTTTCACTAATGTTGTGGCTTAAATCCCAAGGAGGAAGAACCAAGAACTTTACCTCCACTGCATTTTCTGTCATCAGGTCTGTACATCCAACCGAGTGCGGTCCCTTTCCTTTGGGGATCCTATAAAACTTCTCAGTGCTGCTGCTCCCCATTTCCATTGGTGCCTTCACCGACGAACCTGGGGAAAAACACAAAGCAAATCAAGAGACCACCATGGCCTGCGTAACCAGATCACCTGCCCTGGAAAAAATTCAGCGCGTTGAAGACCAAGGAGTAGGAAATTCAAGGTCAAGCTGATAGAAGAATCTGCTTATGAGAATCAGAGATCTGAAATCCCGGGTCACCAACCTCACCTGTGCTATTGGGGAATTTCCTCGGAGCAGGATCCCAAGGATCAGACAACAGCGAGCACTGAAAAGAAAGGCGGGGAGGAAAGGTTAGCTGGGGATGCTGTGGTGGCACCGGGAGATCGAGGTGCTGGGGTGCAGGGCAGCAGCAGTCTCGCTTCTCGGGCACGGGCAGGGACGCGCAAGGCCAAGAGCAGGGAGTTTCGATGTGAAGGCAGTCCCCCCTGCGCCGGGCTACGACCTAGAGCCGCTCCTCCTCGTAGGGGCGGCAGGGAGGGAAGGTTGTGCAGCTCCTCCGTAAACAAAACCGGCCCACGCATGCAGGGGAGAAGGATGGCACGGAGGAAACCAACGCTGCAGCCATTTTCCCGAGAGGAACGACGAAGCCTGGGTTTGATGGCTGGAGGGAGAAGGAAGGGCCGCCCGCGCCGGGG